AGTTTGTATCTTTCAAATTAATGCTCGTAAAATTAAAAATTTCTAAATATTATCCAAGATGCTCTTAAAATTTTAAATTTTAGATTGATACAAAATAGCATTTGAATCGAGTGGGCTACTATTACTAATTATCCTCTGACATTAGTTTCTGAACTGTAAAAGCCTTAATCCTGTAATACAAGTAAAAAATTTTTCATTATGATTTTCGTTAATTAAAACCGTCGACTTCCAAATGACTGTAGTAAGACTACCACCCAATTATTTCTGTTAAAAAGATGGCTAATTTTTGATTTAAACCCCTTATTGCACTTATTTATTTAATACCATTAGAAAACTGAATAATTTAAACTAGATAATGAAAATTTACTGAGAATGATTTGATTTACTGATTTTAAAACCGTTTCAATATATTCTTGTCAAACAGTTCCTTAACACATAATGTATGTAAATTAGGAAGAGTGACGAACTTGACAACCTAGATACAAGTACAGTATATTTAGGAGTTAAGAATGTTTCAAAGTAAAGGGTGATATTTTAGTCGTTAATTTATTCCTCACTTGGTAATTAATCATCCATATGGCTTTAGTACGCTGTATAAAAATTATTACTGACTCTTAGGTGTACGATCAAACCGTGACTTTATATTCTTTATATTGCGAGCTATGTATGATTAAGATTAGCCTGTATAGACTAAAACACACAACTTAGCTGTGGTAGTGACACCAGTTAGAATGTTTGTCGCTTTCAACTCACGACAAAGAAACCTGGGTCTCTAAATCTGCGTAAATACTAATGCTACAACAGCCAAATGTGCCCCTAACGGACGATGCGTAGACTGGACTTAGGTTTTTGAAATAGTATATTAACGAAGGTAGTCTTGACATCCAAAACTACTCCAACTACGCGCGTACACTAAATGGTCAAACGTCAACTAACTAGCTAATGAGAGCACCAAGCTTTAGATACTCTAGCTTGGCTGTACTCAGTGCACAACTTAGATAAATAATCTTAAAAACATAAAGCTACGATTAACTTACGGAGTCTGCACTCCGTCACAATATTATAATCGTTTTAGTAATAGTTTTGATGATACTACGGACGCTTTCAAGCTCAATTGAAACAAACTGGTCTTGAAGATCGGATAGCAATATTAAATTTATCACGCTTTATGTTCTTCATGTAGAATATTCCTAATCTAAGACGAAGTCTAGACAAAATAATTTGGAAAAGTATGATAAACTGCCTTCTCCAACATGAACTACAGTGTCTTGTAATAAGATTAGATTCGTCTTACAACTACCAAGGAATATCTAGTTGTAATCAGACTAAATAATCTTAGTCGCAAGTTTATTTGGGACTGTACTACAAAAGGTTATCTCCGAAATATACCTAAATCCAGAAAAATTACTACTACTTGATATTAATGTCTAATCTTTCAATCTTAAAGTTGCTATAGGATTCTACCACACCTTCATGAAAATATCCTTGATAAACTATCGTATAAGCCTCCGATAAAATAACTTCGTTATGTCATCCAATACATTAGCGTTTTGTCATGCATCAAAATCTATTAGACATGCAAATCAAATTTTCTACTCTAATAAAACTATACTCATCTGCTTAACCTTCACAATTACTATGCAGTCATAGAAAAGAAAAGCTCGCTGTATCATAGAGCTAGTTAATATTTTTGTAATTTCAGGCCAAAGGCCTTTGAAAATGCGTTGTTTTAGCTTGAACTTGACATTCTAAATTCAAAATAGATCTCCTATATATCTATACCTTAGCAAAATTAAGTCTAATCCGATTCATTTCGAATTAAAATTTAAAGAAGTTACGTTTCAGAATCCCAAGATGATATTTACCATAATTGTTTACTATATTCGTAAATCATGTTAACAAGCATAAATATCGCCGTACGCTGCATTATCACTTACTTTACGCATCTGTCGTAAATACTGTTATTACAGGTCAGTATATCTTGCAAAGACGGAACTGGGATAGCTCAAGAGGCACTCCGACAGTCTGGTAGCTAAGATACTCGATCTACTGACTCACAATAAACTAGCAACTTTCGATTAGCGAATCCTTTATTTCTCTACTTTTTAAATTGCATGTAACTTAGAGCTAAAAATAGCCCAATATGCGTTGATCCTAAGTTATTATATGATGATGTAGGACTAATAATCTCCAAAGAGAAACTCAAATTTAATAATCATGAACACTTGCCTTCAAAAGCTGAGCAAATAACTAAGTGCCGATTACTTAGATACGGTACTATTTAAATACTAGCAGTCGTAATGATATGTTTTTACAGACAAGGTTTGATATTTCCTTTACGCAACGCCATTACAAAACTAAAATTACGACAACTATTTCTCTGATATCTTGCTGAAAGATATTTGTAATATGCTACGTTTTCTTTTGGCCAATGTTATGGAATTAAATTGTTTGCACATTAATATATCGTCGAAACTTTCTTGACTCATTTCTAAAATAACTTTTATTCGCGAATGCGATAGCTACAATGATTAGTCTATTATATTAATCTTGCTATCATATTTGTTATCTAATACTCACAAATTAAATATTCACTGCTATATTTAATGCATTTCTGATAAATAAAATATAAGATTGCACGTTATATTCATTTGATATTTTCAGCCCTTGCAGATACCTTTAGCCTTTAATGCAAATAGCCATAGAATCACATATCTGTATTGCTACTATTACTTTTTGTGATAATATACATGTTACAACGATAGTTAGTAATTAATATATTGCAAAACTCATGCTACTATTCGAATAATTAATTTATAAGTATCATACCATGATCCGATTTAATTCTAGGCTTTATCATACAGCATTTTCTCATAATCTCATTCGCGTTAATTAATAATTACACCCAAAAAATATCCGCCTAGCTTATACTTGACTAAAGCAGCACTTTATCCCATCTTTAACATTTTACGTATCGTTATAAAGTATTAGGAGCAGAATAAATAATTAAATAGTATAGTAAATTGTTCATTATCCACTTAATTTTTATCGATATGCAGTAAATTCTATGATTCGTCTCATTGTGTATTGTGGCTAGTTTCTTAGCTGATTAGATGTATCACATTTACTATTTTAAATCTTATCTGCTATTAAATTTAGATTCTTTCGGATAGCTATGCTATTCTAACTCTTTCGATGTATATATTTTCCATTTTACGTATTACAGCATAGTTTAATCGTATCATGATTATTGTAAGTCAAGCTGCCTATTGTATGATGCACTATTTAAAGTATTATCTGAGATTATTTCAATGAAGTCTGATTAAAAAATAATTTTCGTAAAATAGATTGAAAAATTAGCTTAGAGCTCGGTATCTTCAAAGATAGGCTAAATCCATAACTTCAAGCGAAAAGGCCTAATATTCTTATACTAATTAAATGACGGAGTCTTAGGTCGCCATGCCACTTTATGCCTCGTGTACGCGTAATCCTAATCGTTGTTTTTATTCCCCGGCATCATCTAGTATGCCTCCAACGATCATCGCAATCGCTACCAATTTATTAGTAAACTCAGGACATAATTCCACATCAAAATTTATGATGGGTGGTCGTATAACTGCACTGTTAGACATAGTTGCGCAATATGGCCCTTGATTGTTATCCTTACCATCATAATTTGGTGTATTTAAGTATAAAATTGGCGTAGTTTTAACATCAATAATATCATTAACTATTTTTAATTTAATTTTTTCTAACTATAATCAATAAAAAACTAAATATTAAGATAATTTAGGTATAGTAATTATTATGTGACTGCGATTATTTAACCAGAAGACTATTAATAAGTCTTACCTCTTTAAGTTGTTGAGTTATGAAAGCGATTGTTTCCTTGAAGCATGCATATTGGTGTCTCTAGTGGTATAATATGGAAAATTCAGTTAGTTGGTTTGAAAGAATACTTGTACTATCAAGATATTTACTGTACATATTTAATGGTGCAATAGCATAAATAATAATATGCATAGTATCAAAATGTGTTGCTGTAATGAAGTGTAGCTCCGTAGATTATAAGATAAGTAATAATAATTGATTATCCCGGGTTGTTTACCGTTTTGGTAGACAACTATGGGTCATTAATACTAGCTGGTTATAATATTACTTAATATACGGACTAGGATAATCTAGTAGAGACTAAAAATTGGATGGATAAATAAAAAGTACCAGTGGTTTGAAAGAAACCTTAGTAGTTGTGTGACTGTGTGGAAAGCGTTACTTTTTCCTTAGTAGAAGATTTCCAAGTTAGTGGAAGACTTACGTAATTACTAGAGCACTTGATATAACCAAATCACAAGAGGGGTTTGTGACAGTTGCATTAACGGAAATTTTTCTAGATGAAGATTTATGAGTTGAAGTTTGAACTTGTTTCAAATCAGGATCAGCAAGTATATCTAATAGCTACAGTATATGAGAATGGCTTATAAATTCTATACACTCATTAATTAAAGATGACTAGTGTATAGAATACTTTCAAGAATAGAATGCTTTCTTGAAAGCATTCAAATTCTATCCAAAATGTATTTTATTGCCATATGCTAAGAAGACTCCTAAGTTTCTCTATTATTGCTATAATATTCAGTAACTATTTGGCGAGAATTCAATATGATTGTAAATTACATGAAAATGTGATGGAGGTATGGAAAGTTAATAAGGTATACTAAAGAGGAAATGGCATAATGTAGAAAAGATAAAAGGTATTCGCTCAAGATCATTTCTAAGTAACTGACTACAGAATAATAAAATTAGTATCGTAGATTTCAAAGTAAATTAGGCCTGGTAAAGCGTTAAAAACTTAAAATTAGCAATTATCTGTATGTTATGTCGAATTCATATATTAATTTTGAAATTATTACTTAATTAAAAAAAATCTCACAAATTTAATTAATGCTTTCATCAGCAGTAGAAATTCTTTTCTCGAAAAGATTTAATACTGGTTTTGCACGGATGAAATTTAGCGGACACTTCCAGATCTTGAATTCTGTGAAGGATACCTCCTTCGATTGCAATAGCTCCCATATTGTAAGTAATATTCTCAATTAGTTCATTATATTTTGAAACAGGCCAAGTCCTTTTGTTCGTTGCATGCTAATATAAATCATATAATGCATATAATTGCCTTAAAATTACATTTCAAAAAAAAGGAATCAGTACAAAAATGTTTTGCCGCTGATAATATCTGCTACTTTCTAACATGCGAGTAATATGTGCATTGCTTTCATGGTCGATATTACAATAACAATTAGCAACGAGAATTTAATAGAAGTAATATTCTCTGAAGATTTTCTACAACCCTCGTGTGATAAAATCCAATCTCGAAAATTCCAATTTAAAGAAAATTAGAAATTTATTAGATCTAATACAAAGATTAGCTACACACAGCTTTACTCTAGCGGAATACGACTACTGAAAGACTAATAGAAAGAATTATCAGATGATCTAATGTCGCTTGTTTTATATTCTCCGTAGCCTGCGCAGCTAAAATCAGCATAGCAACATTTTAGCTTATTTTGCATATAATCAAATTATTACTAGTAACACTTTTTTACAATGGACCATGATTAATCCAATATGGAAACGATTACAGTAATTGCGTAAATATTATTCCTACCACTCATAGTACAATGAACTAACTATATCATAATATATGGTTTACTATTCTACTTTTACCTCTAACCTTATTAGTAGCTCAAAATCTGACTATATATAATCATCTGTCCTCTAGCATAAAGTCTACCATTTCAGTCCATAATTATGGGCTAGTAAACATATCATAAGATAAATATAGAAACGGCACTATCGTGCATCATAATATACATGGCTAATAGTCTACAATCACATTACTAAGTTATTTTACATGCCGTATATTATACAGTATATAATTAAAATTTCATAACAAGGCGTCATTATAATGATAATAATTTCTAAATATTAGATTATGTTTTTAATACAAGATTTTTAATGCTATTAATCTCGATCCTACTGCAATGACAACACAAATTATGAAACTGGTCTGTACTCAGATATTATCAAAAAGTAGTGCTAATAGAAATAGTAAGCATTATTCTTTGTAAGCTCTAAACAAATAACAGAATTATTAACAAATTTTTCTATAATGAAGTGCTAAGCTATTAGTGTAATACTAAGAATAGAAAATATATAGTGAGTACGATTAGTAGAAGCCTACGGATACATGACATAATTGGCCATATGGCCCGACCATCTGCTACGCTAAACTTTACCGGTAGTGTCTAGAATTTTGATGCGATTCGAAGTCTTATAAATAGGCTACGTAAACGTCAATTAAATTTTATTACACTATTATTACCATAAAAAACACATTCTATAGCAATAAATATTATGCAAAATATAATTAAAGTTCTAAATAATGTGTATTTTGTTAAAATAGTATTCGAAATTGCTTTTGAGCGAGAAATATGATATTGATGCTCGTAATACATCAACTTATCTTTCCTAGATAAATTAGTTGATAAAATGGACAGGCATAATTATTTTGTTGATTAGACTATCTTTGTTCCAATTTGTTACATGAAGAAACTTATTATCAATCAACATAGTTTTATAGGCAAGGACTGTTCACTTACCATTAGTTTTGGACGCATAGGAAAATCGATTGGTAGAATATAGGCTACTTGAGCCATGCAGTCTATAGCTGTCATGGCTTTGCTTACATTCTTATGATGTTCCCCCACTTGTCGCTTAAATTCCCTCAGATACGTAGTTTTGCTGCAATTCATATCAAGATTGCGTACACGACTAGTTGTTCTACCCCAATATATAGTTGCATTAAATAACAACATGGTGATGAACCATCCTAAAGCGAGATCGAATTAGATATTAGTATAGTTTTGATCAGCAGCAAATATAATTTATTAGATAGTATACCAAGTTTGTGTATGATTAAATACGCCATGCACTATGACGATTTTTGGGGTTGAATTGGTAGTTAACAGCATATTTTATTATCATACTTTTCCAAGATGCTATTACACAGTCGTTTATAGTAGAAAATCTATCACAAATTTTAGTGACTATAGAAATTCTGCGTAAATATTTTTAGAGTTAAATGCGTACATGGCTTTACGTATAGGCTCAGATACTGACTATATATTCCAAATTTGCTATTGATATGATCAAGGAATGAAGTTAAAGAAATTAAGGGCCTAAGGAAACTAGTATTTCTACAATAGCAATAATAACAGTTAAACGAAAGACAGTACATGAGAGCCAACACATGAATGCCAACACGACTGTTATTAAGAGTGAAAAACACTCTTTCCATTATAAAAATTTTACTATTAACTTATAAGATATTCCATCAATTGCTATAATTTATAGTACCTTTCAATCGTATAATTAGAGCTACTCAGAAATTTAAAAAATTTGCCACTTGATAGATTATACTGATGAAAAGGCTTAGAGTATATATCGTAAACGACTAAAAAATTAGGAAAATATTATGTTTGGCCACTAGATTACCTCATAAAAACGCTACTGAAAATGTAATCATGATACATCTTAAGTATCATTAAATTAAAGTAAAATATTCAATGAACACCATTAAGATATTATCGAGATCTGTAGAATAACTCATACCAATTATTGTCGGCATATCTTTTTTTTAAATACAGGCAAGTAGAAAATGCCAACAGCTTGAGAAGAGAGTAAAGTGTATGATCGGAAATAAAAGGGTTACTATTAAATTCGTTTATCCGTGTGACCTTTAAAGCTGTTACTATTATTTTTGGTAGCATAAACAGATGATCAACTCAAATTGTAATAGTATTAAGAAGAATTCTAATTAATTTAAATTACTTACTGACTCGTATTTATTGAAATAATTGCGGAGGCTATACAGGTACCGTAATTTCTTAACAAATAAATTAGTAAGGTAAAGTATTGAATATAACCCTAGTTCAGGATATCTGACTAACTGAGACTATACATTACGACAAGGGTTGGAGTTTCCGAATTCATATTAGTATATATATATATAATTAAAACTCTTTACATGCTATATTTACCAATACCGGCCTATATCAATAACACTGACCCACCTATCTCTGATATTTACAACATTCGCATTGCTTAGCTACGTAAAATATCATAATCCGAGTACAATTTAATACATGAGAGAATGATGAAGCTGTCATTTAGCCAACGGATGGAGCAGCATACGTTGACACGATATATTAGAGCATTGTTTACAATACTGTAATTTAGTGTAATGCATAGTAAAATGTATTCATACGTCCAACACTGCTTATGCAATTATTTTTAATTTTTCTAGCACGTATGGAAGCTATCGAATATTATATCAGTGTTGAAGAAAATAATTCTGGAAGTAACAACGAATAGTAATCACGTGATAAAAGATAGCCGGAAGTGGTTAACCTTATCTTGTGATAACTGCATGATTCCAATCTATGAATAAACTGACCAATATTTGCTTGGCGATCAAATATTAATAGAACAGATTAGCTGCAACACTACAACTAGACTTGATTTCCTTAGTAATACTAAGTAATGCATGTCTCAAAAACTACCATCTCCTACCAATTGCAAGTTACAGCAACCATAGTTCTCGCTAGATTACCAATG